GTGTTTAGACCTTATTTACACCTGTGCAGTTACACATTTCGTTAAGTGTAAAGGTTGAAAATTTTAAATGTTTGCGTAGAAAATGGTCGACATTTAATGTACAGTGATACTCCTTTAGTCAGAGACTGAAACACCCTCGCTGCAGGAAGGAGCGCTTTCGCAGATCATTCATCCCAACAGCAGTTAGACTCTATAACTCCTCAATCATGATGTCATAAGTCACTGGTCACTGTGAACATCCACGGTCACCACCTCATGCATAATGGACCTTCCATGACCTTCCAAGCTATATAGTTTATGTCTTCCATATTTCCAACTATATCCATAATCACATACTGTGTATGCTACCATTGTATATAGTGTATTATCTTACTTTTTTTCATTGATTGTACTTATTTGTATTTTTGTATTTCCTTCATATATCTGTACCTAAGCTGAGGTGATGCAAAAATTTCCCCGTTGTGGGATCAATAAAGTCTTATCTTATCTTATCTTATCTTACTCAAACTTTGGCATCTTTTCCGTGTCACTGTTCCTGCAGCGCCCTCGGTCTGTGGTTCTTCATCCGCCGAGGGAAACAGTGCCTGGACTTCACGGTCACCGTGCACTTCTTCCACATGATCGGCTGCTGGATATATAACGCTCATCTTCCAGCTGCCTTGTCCTGGTGGCTCGTCAACATAGCCTGCATGGCGTTGATGGCTGTAATTGGAGAGTACCTGTGCATGCGGACTGAGCTCAGGGCAATTCCAGTCAACACTGGACCGAAATCTAATCTGTGAATTTTCTTTGGTGACAGGCTGAAAGATTGTGAAGGGGTAATCCTTGAGGGACTCACTGAGGAGGGTTTTTTTCCACCCTCCACTCTTGGAAAAGAAAAAGAACATGAACCTCTGTCAGCACGCATGTCGGATTTTCGTGCTTTGTCTGTTTCCATCAAGTGGTTCACCCACCCGGACCTGATCTATTTATTCATAGCTGCACATTAAATATTGGACAGTGCAAATTTGTAGCATATTAAGACACCTGTTTTAAGTCTTTTGAAAGCACATGCCAGTTTACATCCTCCTCTAAACTAAATGACTACAAATGTTGTTTTGTTTGTTTTTTTAAGTAAGTTTTTATGTTGAAATTCATTATTTTCATTCCTTAATTTTAAGAATTTTTTTCTGATTGTTGTTAAATTTAGCAGACATACACATACGCAAATTAAAAAGCTCTGTCCTAACAGCACTTTAAAGATGCCAGTGTGCAAATTTCACATCAAAGTTTTAGTTACTGCTTCTTAAAGCTGCTTTTAAACGTTAAATATAGGGAGAAATGTGTTTTTAGACAACAAAAAGGTACAGTGCTTAGCAGATTTATTAGACCATCTGTCACAAAGACAAATATTTTAGAAATCTGTCAAAAAACTTCACCTACAAAAACAAATGTTTCAAATCTGTAATGGATGTAAAAAAAAAAAAAAACAACAACAACTGTAATTTGGCACCTTAATAAAGAAAAAGTGCTTTTGCACAATTTTAGCTCTTTTTTTTTTTTGGTAAAACTGTAAATTTGAAAATAATTGATAATAATTATATTTTAGTACTAAAAATATCGTTTCAGCTGCACATACTGGTGGATTAACCATTACAGAAAAATAAAAAATGATTTTTATTGGTAATTTAGGGCAGCTGTGGCATAAATCTTACACTGGTGGTCTATTAAATTTGTTAAGCACTGTATGCTAATCAGTAGGTCATGTAAATCCAAATATAAGAAAGATTTTATGCGTCATAATTGGGGCTCAATAACTGGTCCAAAGTAATAAAAACCAGGCTCAATTTGATGTTTCCTACATTCAGCCTCCTAATCCTTGTTAAATGCTTTTCTTTTTGAGTCTGTACCACATTTTGCACAGCAAGCATTGTTGGGTTCTGTCTCTTTATGGCATGATGTATTATGCAAACCGTTTGGCCACTTCGGGGACAGTTTGTCAGCCACCAGCTGGGTTCTGACAGCTGGCTTTGTCTGTGCTTCTGAAAAATTGCTGTTCGGGGAGGATGTGATGGGGAAAGTCCTAAAATGTTCGGCTCTGATGTCTTTTTTTCCCCCCCCCTTTTGGAGCAGTGTCAGACTGCTCATTTCGCTGGTGACTTTTAAACTCTTAACAGAATTGACTTTTTGTCTTTAATGTGTTACAGCTCATGCTACACACGCTCGAGATGCTCTTCTTTAGACTGTCAGTTTAAAACCTTTGCAGCTTTGATGGTGCGGATGATGCGTTGTCTTGTTTTGCAGTCACGTTTTCCTAAGGTGTGAAATGAGTTTATAATTATGATGCAGGGGGCGATATTGGAAGGTGCAGCCTCAAATTGGAAAGCAGCTCCCATTCAAGCTGCTCTGAGTAGGAACAGAAAAGGCTAGCCTGTCCAAAGAATGTAATCCATCACCTCTCGAGGTAATTAGCCTGGTATATCGATGACTTGTTGTCTTAAATATGCATAATATTATAATAAGGGAGGTCTTGCCTGAGCTGCTAGTAAGCAAGAAGTGAAAAGAGTCAGGATTTCTACCCCTCCTCCCATCCTCCCATTTAAGCAGTAGCTTCATATTTACTCCACAGAAGAGATGTCAGACTTAAAGTCCACTTTGATCTTATGTGGACCGAACAAGTAAAACTCCAGTTTCTGTCAGTGTACACATTTCATCTTAATGTAAGGTAAAAGTGCAATTTTAACAGTATGACTTGGTTTTTTACATGATAAAGAAACGCAACACTATTGTAAATGAAAGAAAACCTGTCAGTGCAACCTGTTGGGCTTCACTGTAAGAAGTAAATGTGTAAAATACAGGAGTCTGTAACTTAATTACTTTGGTGTATTGTGAATGGCAGCGGGGGAGGTCTTATCAGTTAGAAAAGATGTAAAACTTGTGGGAAAAAAAACTGTAAAAAGTTTAACATTTATGTCCTCCTTCACTTTCAAAGCCATCCAATCGGCCGGATTGGGGTCTTCACCCAACCCGACCAATTCTGGCTCCTGGGCCTTATATTTTACACCCCTGCTCTACATAAGAATGAGCCGACTCTTACAAAAAGGTGAACAACTGTTTCCCAAAATCTCCACAAATTACTTTATTTTTACTTTGTACAAACTCGTGACTACTCTTTCTAAGCTGCTATTTTGTTATCTAGCAGTGGAACCTCTGAAAGTGTTCATATCACCTTTTGTATCTTATATTTTTTTTGGTAATGTAATTCAATATACGAACTCTGGATAGATCTATTCACATCATTAAATTCCTTGGGGAGAAAAAAAAATCGCAGACACGGTGTGCATATTTCTCCTTTCTGGAGATTTAAATGTCTGCACAGCTTATGTTGATTATATTAAAAGGGTAAAGTCTTGGAGAGGAAACTGCAGGTGGAAAAAAAAGAAAGAAGCAAAAACAAACATTGGCCATCATGCTTCAGACATCAAACATGGCTTCTCTAATGAGGATATTTCCACATGCATGTCTTTACTTCTCCAAACCTTTTCTGCCCTGGGCCTTGATCCCTCGCTGCAGGAAGTGTCCAGGTGGAAAGCAGCAGATGGGAGAGCACTAACGAGTTGAAAAACGCTGGTTGCAGTCGTCCTTACCCCCACTTTGCTCCGGGGATGACTAAAAACAGAAACTGTAATAGATGGGTTAAAAAGGATCGGCTGCAATCAGTAAATGTACCACCAGTTTCCATCTTAGTGCTGTTACTCTCCTGAAGCCAGTGAGCACACACTTAGGTTTTAAACATTGTGCTTTATTATTATAAACACATTACTTTTCCATATATTGCTTTATACAGTCTGTAAATTGTGTATTAAACTGAAAAAACCCAAACCCTCACATGGATACTGAACTTGGTTTTACATTCAGGAGTTCTTTCCATGTTTGAGCTGTCATTATTAGGATTACTATGGTATCATCATGCTTTGTTCAACAGCAGGGAAAAAAAGTCCCCTCTTAAGAAGTGACTATTGTATTGCTCATGCTTTGAGGACATCACAACTTTTTTTTTTTGTATTGTTACCCCCAGGTACACAGTGGATGACGTAACAGTAGTACAAACCTCTTTCTAAAAAAGCTGTGGCATTAGGCAAAAATCTCAATAAAAACAGAGTGCATTGTTTTGCAAAAAATTTAAACCCCGTAATTCATGAAAGTAGTCCAAAATAAACATTCTTTAACTTTGTTATTTTTAAATATGTTCTCGTTTTGAAGATGATGCTGTTAAACTACTGGACAGGCGAGTAAAATGACTCTTAGTAAAGAAAGCGTCCCAGAAAACTATGTCAGAAATAAGGATGGTGCATAATATCACTGAAAGGTTCAGAGAAAATCCAAAGAAATCTCTGTATGCAAGTGAAACGGCTAAAAGCCAATGTTGAAGGTGTGCCCTCACATAGCACTGCATTAGAAATAGACATGATTATGTTGTGAAGATCAGTATAGCGACTCAGGACCGCTGTCAGAGAACAGGTTTGTCTTGTCATCCATAAGAATAAATTAAAACAAACAAAAATAAAGAAACATCCTGATACGTTGTCTTCTCTGGTAGTTGCATAAACTATTAAATCTTACCACCTACATACTAGCAACCATGATATGGGAAGCATTAGTATGTATGGTATGGTAAATTGCAGATATACTATACAGGACAAAAGTATTAGGCCACACCTCTTAATGTTTGAATTTAGGTGTATCAAATCAAGCACGTAGCCACACCTGCAGTCTGCTTGTGAAAGAATGGGTTGTTCTCAAGAACTCACTGAATTTAAGTGCTGCCCTGTAGTAGGATGTCGTTGTTACAACATTAGTTGTTACTTTGGGTTTATGCTTTTTGATCTATGCTCTAATTGTCGCAACCTCAAATCCCCCTTAAACCCTGAGCCATAACGTGATTCGACTACATGTCAGCTATTGTGACTGGCCTGTTCAGTCCTGTTGATTTTTCCTTTTGAATTTATCCATGTGAGAATAACAATCATTGCCTCATTAAAAGGAAAAATAATCATATCTATATGAAGACTCATAAATGTCAGCAAATTCCTGGAGGAAAATTGCTTAAGCTATTCTCCCCCAGAGTAACAAATATGTTTGGACCCTCAAAAAAAACTGACTTCAATAAGAGGAGGAAAAAAATCCCTGCAGTTTATTTATTCCTATCACCTGGCACCGCATATAAAACACTGAGCCATGACCACACAGAATGCACCAGCACAAGCACAAATGACATCAGCCACTTACGTACGTTACGTTGTAGGCTCTACAAAGATTCCCTGCAGAAGTCTAAATCAAGAGTTAGTGGTATTATTGCAAAGTGGAAGCGTTTAGGAACCACAACAACTCAGCCAAAGAGTGGTAACATAAAGATACAGAGCAGAACTGGCGAGCGTTGAGGTGCATAGTGCGTAAAAGCTGCCAAAGCTCTGCTGTCTTAGTAACTGCAGAAAGCCTCCTCTTGCATTAACATCAGCACAAAAACTGTCCACTAGGAGCTTCGTGGCACGACTTTCCATAACCGAGCAGCTCCTGTAGGTGTGACATGTGGGTGGCCCAATACTTTTGTCCATCCAGGCATCATTAATGTTAAACAGGCTTTAAAAGAACATATGGTGGCATCTTCTGCAGAGAACAACTGAACTGTTAAGCAGGTTAACAAGCATAAATTGGGAAAAAATTGATTTCAGAACTACATTTGGTTTTCTCAGTTTCGAAATGCTTGTGGAGTGTTGTTTCAAGAAGTGATGAACACGCTCTTATCTCATGTGCTTTTGAGATGTGACATTCGTAAATATCCATCTCATTATATTTAGTACGGTGTGTTATATTTATTTTAAATAGGGGTTTACATGATTTCCAAATCCAAACATTCTGTATAATTTGGCTCTTCCCATCTTTTTTGGAAAAGGGATTGCACTTTGAAAGATGAAAGAAATAGAAACAGAGCAAACATGCTGATGGAGTTTAGGTAGGTATGGGGGTGAGGATAATACATCTGCATAACAAAGGATGCAGGCACATTGAGGAGCTAGCATAACTTCATGCACAGATCAAGACCACTGCACGCCATCTCCGAGGTAAAATTAACAATCTGTCCATTTTTCTGAAGCACTGTCACAAAAATCACCATGCACTTGTGATAACATAAACGACTGAATGATCCAACTTTGTTAAGATCATTTTTAAAGCAAATATGTATATATGGACACAGTTTGGGCAAAACAAACAAAAGAGAAACACTATTTCTCCAACATTTGAATTTACTCCGAACCAAAGGGCTTGATGCTGTTTTAAAAATAAACACCGTTTTTTTTTTCATGACAAATTCACCAAAATATTAATCACAAAAGACAATTACTACTTATGACATCTCATAGACTTTTGTGCTAAATAGATGCAAGTTATTACACATTAATCTTTCTGTTTCTGAAGTTTGTTATTATTCTCACAATTTGACTTAACAGATAAAAAAAATTTTAGAAGAGGAGAACATTGTTTGATATATCAAACACATATTAATGATGTAATCAGTAGAACTTTATGGCAGATTTGTCTTTGAAAAGCCACCCACATGTATTCTGTCATCTACTGGAGTATGCAGACTACTTTAATGCACAAGGTTAGTAATAGGATGTTAATAGCAAGTGAGCATTTTCTCACAGAAAGTCACAAAAATAAAAAATTTGTTTTTACACAACGATCAGTGGGTTGGAAAATTAAAAGGAGCCGTGGTTTAACTAAAGGTTTAACATGGATCATGTGCAATATACATCCCCTATTTTTGGTGTCTTTATAGCAGCTATGCAACATCAGCCATGATGGGCTGAAAGCTTATAAGGAGAAAGGGAATCCAAAGTTGTGTACGAACTGCTTGATTGTCACCTTACTACAACATTTTCTACACTTCAAAACAAGTTAAAGGTTGAATTCACCTCTATAGTGCATACAAATGTTGTTTAGTCATGTTGAGTCTGATTTCGCTCTTTGTTTGGTCGGTAACAACCTTAAATAAACAAAAAGTACAGAAATTTGCGTTTGGTCGATAATTTCTATGTTGTAACAATACGTCTCGGCAATAAATCTGAGTATGAGAGCTGCACCCATGAAAAACTTGTCAAATCTGGTTTGTCATTGTTAAATTGCCAATATACTTTGTTTCTTCAGACTTCGATCGTCCAATCCAATAAGCACCAAACAAGAGTCAGTAGCAGAATAAGCTGAAGATTTTGTGCAACCCACATACTCAACTCTGCTGCTCAACCCAAAAATGTGTTTTCCTTACAAATGTGGCAGCATTTAAGGAGAAATTAACAGGCTTTCCAGTAGTATAATATTTAACATGAAGCATTGTTACAACAGAGGACAACCAACCAAACAATAATTTCCTTGGTTTTCGTACCAAGTTTGTGAGGAACTTAAAAGCGGTAAGATGTTATTCTTCATGACGTGTCTCTTTAGTGTTTTCACAGAGCAAAGCTGTGTTTATACAAACTCAGTGGAGGTCAAAAGGTTTACGCTGTAGCTCATAATTAAAGAGGCAGACTGGCATTGTAGTAGTCTGACAGCCCCATCGCCTGTACTACAAGCAGCAGCTGGTTAGCTTAAAAACTGGAAATAAGAGGGTGGGGCAGAACTGCCAGCACAGATCATTCACAAACATTTTATAAATCATTTCTTCAAATTACACAAAAGTGAAAAAAATATATATATATTTAATGACAAGCTAAGCTAAAACTGGTTGCTATGCCTTTCATATTTACTGGTGAGATCTTAAAGTGGGGTTAGTTTTCTAATTTACTTATTGTAAAATCAAACTTTTTCTTTAAGGAGCATAATGAAATCAGACTTTACACAAAACACACCATGGATGCAATAACTATCTTATATACAAAAATGTGAGCGATGAATAAAAAGTTATTTGGGCTTAAAAACTACAAAAATTAGACGTTATATTTTCACACAGGTAAACTATTGCAAGCTGTGTTTTACTGCACGACATTGTACAGCTATATGCGGCAATGTGCCTACTCCTTGTACAGTGTTAATAACCCAGAGCCACAGGTGTCTGATAGTAGAACGAGCTGACCAAATTGAATGTGAAATCCACGAGAGTGTGTGCTTTTAATCTGTTTATAATGCAATTCTTTCTGCCACTCCACCCAAAGCTGGAGTATTTGAGAGAATTTCAAACCTCATTCATCACAGACATCAGCGACTCTAGGTCAAAATAATCCTTTGAAACATTTGTGCTCTTAAATCCTTGGCTTTAAGTTTAAACTCTGGAGGACCGAAGCACAGCGAATACGACGTCCTCCTCACCCAACCCCTGCTCCATCTATGCAGAAGCCCAGCCGGGCCCAGTCAAGGCCAGCATCAGCGGCAAGATGAGGACAGCGCTAGGTGAACTTAGACTGGGAGAGGAGCTGGGACTGCACAGATCAAACAGACTTCCCTGGAAGCGTATCTTCCTGGAGTCCTGCCTCAGAGTCTCCCAGATGGAGCTGACTTCCTCCTGACAGTCGGACAGTGCCGTGAGCGCACAAGTGTGGAAAGCTTCCCAGTGGCTGTGGCAAATAAAAGGATCATCAGTTCAGCACTGTGTCTGACATTTCACTCGGAAGTCATTCCCACAACAGCATGCAGACATGCACTGGCTGTGCCCGATTAATTTGCTTGCCAAAAATCCATCACTCACACGGCTACGAAGGATGCAAGTAAGTCAAGCTGTGCTTTAATTACCATGGCAACTGTATGAGAGAGTGAAACAATATCACAGATGATATTGCAAGTGGGCAATTTTCAACCAAAGGATTAAGTGTAAATCTTTGTCTTCAGTGCACTGTGTTGGGGTTGTGGAGTGCATGCAGTAACAGTGACAAAGAACTCCCCCCGAATTTCATTACTGCTGCAGCGAGGTCATACATTATTTAGCACAATGGCTCAGTGTCTCAGCACCATTCATTTCTCTAGTCTTCTCTTCTCTGGGATTGTGGCATCTGCTCCCTTTCTCTCCAGTATTTTGTTATGAGACGAATATTTAATGCTGTATATGTCTATATTATTGCTCTCAATTATGCCTTATTTGATCCTAATTGAACTGAAAAACAATTTTGTGCACCAACGGGTTTCTTAATCGACCCATGAAAGCTGGTTTCTCTCTGCATTTCTTGTTCTCTCTGCTGGGGTTATCATTTGTATCTTAGTGCACATAAAAGCTCTACTCACAAAGAGTGATGAGAGCTCAAGCTCACAAAACTCTACAGTGAATGTCTCGCTGCTGCTCGTGCACTTGCCGGTAAAGTAATTATCACCTGCACACAGCTGCCACTCCCCTCTCACTGGTCACGTTCTCCTGGTAGTTGTCCATGCTCTCTCCCAGCTCCAGGACGCATTCGGAGAAGTCCTTATAAATGTTCTCACACTTCACATCCACAGAGTCTCCTGGCACCGCTAAGGACAGAAATACTGAAAAAACAGATACACGAGACAGCTTTCTTTACCGCTTTTGTGATGCTTTGTCCATTGACGAGCTACAAATAACCATGAGAGACATATCAGCATCCACTGTAAGTGCACATAAATCAAATTTCTTTCTCGCTAAGTGTCTGGCTTAAGATTTCAGACTACTTTCAGACTTCACTTACGAATATACAACCTTTAAGCAAAGACCTCTCTATTACATTTATAATAATAAATACTATCACTCTTATTTAATTTGATAATTTAATTTGATCAGAAAAAATATGTGTTAGGTTGTCAAACTTTCACTTCAGAAGCTGGAAAACCCCACCCCACACTCCATATTTCTTATCAATAATTAAGAGTGAAAAAAAAAAAAGGATCCAAGTTAAATAAAGGTCAGCATCAGAAAACTTTTGTTTATTTTGCCTACCAAAAGATCACATTCATTCGGCTCATGCTCTTCCTGGTCATCCAGCCCCACAGTTTTGGAGCAACTGCTCTAGACAGATGTAATGTGGTGGAAGGAAAACATTCCTGACCACCGCAGCCCAAAACTCGCTTTGTCAATAATAAACTGTACTGATTATAAAGTGCATATGTCTGTATTTTAGTAAAAGTGACAGTTGAGTGAAAAAAGAAGAAGAAACCATTCCGTAAGTTTTTGTCTTTCGGTAAGCGTTTCGTGTAAGAAAGCTTGTACACTAAGTATAGATACAACACCCAGTATCTACCACCGCTACAAGCAGTTGGCAGTGGTACAGGTCTGATAACCATCATGCAACACTGATGGAGATAAATAAGCTTACGGTCACAGCACCTACATTCTGCTGCAGGAAGATTAAAAGAAGAGAAAAAAAGACTGCTTTCTGTTCCAAACCATCCCAACTGGCTCCCACCATAAAGCGACTGAGATTGAGATACCGTACCGGTGGCAAAGGCAACAATCCATCCGATCTTCGTCGACATGAAAAATCCCATATCATCCCATTTCAAGCCGAGCGGAGGGCGCGGGATGCTGCTGAGGCGCCGAAATAAAAAGAAAAAAAGCGTCTCTGAGTCACACGGAGGTGATTAGCTGCCCATCATTAATGTGAGTCGATGTGTATCAGTGATTGAGCGCCGATAAACACTTGGTAGGTGTGTATTCAGTCTTTCCTTGCTCCGGCCGACTGCTGACGTTACCTGCCCCCCGGCGCGCGCTGAGCTCATCTTCCCCCCTTCAGCACCGGACAGTTCTCACCTCCCCGAGCAGGAACCACGGCCCTGCTTCATCACCCGGTGCTTTTATGCTTTTGTTAGACACCTCACACAGGATGTCATCACAGGATCTCAGCATATATATATATATATACATACCCTCAATCACATATCTGAGGTTGGGAAAATAAATATTTACTTTGTTCCACAGGGAAAATGTGGAAATGTTGTGGAAACATGTAGCATTTGTCTTCTTCTGCAGATTTCTGCACACTTTCACAATCAAACAAATTTTTAATATTACACAAAGATAATCTGAGTGAATACAAAAATACAAAACGCTTTGTTTAGCCTTTTATTGTTTTTCAGAAGGCGTTGCATCACAAATACTGACATACAACGTGACAGACCGCATCACTAACACTGACTGAAGACTATGAAATGCTCTGCTCAGGAGTAAGGCGGCAAAATTGACTTGCACAGACACTGAGATGCATGGTTTCGACATTTGTACTTGCAGCTGCCACTGTACCACTTTAAAAAAAAAATAAATTCATTAATGGATGTTATGTGTGAGTCATGTGTGGTAATTAAAAAAAAAAAATCAACTGCATTTTTTGCAAGAGACCAGATAAGGCAGAGAAGGGTTTGATGATAGAGAAGACTGTGATATTTTCATTATTATTATTATCAAAAAAAAAAAAAAAAAAAGGAGGGGTGGCAACAAACTCAAATTCAACCCTCTTCAAGAAGGCAGTTCAAGACAGCCCTTGTAATCTTAATTACTGATTGTCTTATTTTTCCCATTACATCTCTTTCTTTCTCTCTCTCACACACATACACACAGATACAAAAGTCCCTTTAAAATGAACCACAGTTCAGTCTTCTTAGTGTTTAAATGGTCACGGTCCAATGAGAGCACAGGATCCTCTCAGCATGTAATACCTTGAGACTGAATCGAGCTCTGATTCTCAAACATAAAAAAATCTGCTTCAAAAACTGAATTCCAGACATTTGCATCCTTTGTAAATATGAACTGAGTTATTGTTGTGAGGTGTTCTGAAAGTTTGATCAAGATTATAACGACAAAGGGAAGCCAGCACGTTTACTGGTCTGTCCCAGCCGCCCTCTTGGTTCGTTTCCGGGGGGATGCTTTAGGGGAAGCCTTGTCTGAAACACAGGAAGTAAAGATCAAATACTCATAAATCACAATCACAGTAAGACAACAAAACAAAGCAGAGGGTGAGTGGAGCAGTGTAATCATAACAGCTGGGCAAAATGAACTTACTCATGACATTAAGAGTCTCCTGAGGAATCCAGCTGATGTCCACATCATTTATTCCAGCAGTGCCCTTTTCTATTTTCACAGAAAGCCTCTTTTTCTGCAGAACGCACACAAAGGTAGAAAGACCACATTATGTCATGTTAAATCCAATTTATTCACCATCATGTTGACTTTACCAGAAACATTTCTTCACATTTACACCGATTTACAAAGATGTGCCTCATTTCATCTCATGGGCAGACAAAATATCCTTAGATAAAAACAGAAGAGCCAGGGATGACGAGCACATACCGTCCTCGAGTCCAGGACCTGGTACATCCCGAAGAGCAGCAGGGATACCAGTCCCGCCAGGAACACGTACATAAACATTCTGCAAATAAAAGCAAAAACCCCAAGTTACAAATACACAAGAGCACAAAAAACAAGAAGAAGCCAGATTTCTCCGTTTATCAACCTCGATTGCAAATTTTATGTTCGATTTTTTTTCCCAGAAGGAATACGCTGTCTTCACTAATATTTCTGCCAACAGTTTGCACGTCTTACACCAGCAGCACAATCCTGGCTGCGAGTCTCTTTGTGACAATTTCACACCTCCTTTTACAGGTTTGTACATGTAGTGCAATCTTCTGGGAGAGCTGCAGAGAGCCGGATGTGCCAAAACGACGTGACAAATACAATTTTGTACATTTCCATTTTTTTTTTTGTTTTCTCCAGTGGAATTAAAAAGACACAAAACACTTCATTTGCATTTTCAATTTTGCCTTTACATTATAAAAACCAGAAAAGCTTACGTTTCTCCATCCAGTCCCTCTTCTCGTTCAGTGATGGTGACAGTCTGGTTGTAAACGGCAGTCTGGAACACGCTGCCCTAAATGTATTTTTTTACAAAAGAAAAGTCAAAAGACAAACAGGGAAAACAAAAGAATTTAGGAGCTCTTTAAAACTTGTTATTAAAATGGCTCAGCATTCGTTAATAGTGCAGAAAAAAGCAGTCAAAGCTCAGCAGGGGGAAATGATGACAGTAAGGACCCTCCTGGGAATCCAAATTATGGGAGAGAGAGAGAAAAAAATAGTTGCTAACAAAATGTAGTGCTGATGAAGATTTCTTCAAGGCTTTTAATATTCATGAATCATGAATAATCATTAGGTGTCCTGTGAAAAATATTCCTGACAGTTACTGCCTGATATCTTCACATTCTACCCCCTCCCACCTTCTCTCAATAAAAACAATAAATAAATAAACTTTTAAAACAATAACACTTATTTTACCTCAGTGTCTTGATAGTTGAGCAGGATTACAAGTCCAAATGGGCGACCGGCCATTGGCTGTGCTGGGATGAAGGAGTACTCGAAGGAGGCCTGAGCTTGTGGTTTGACGACAGTGTTCAGGGGCAAAGCTGTGAACTATAAACACACAAAACACTAAGCAATCATTTTCTGAAAGTATGACATGAGCTAGTTTGGTTTCCTCAGTTAACCTAACATCAGCGTCTTTGGACAAAGCTGGGGTACCCGGAGAGAATCTGGGGAGAACGTGTAAACGCCACACGAAACGCTCCGGGAACCTGGAACCCTCTTGCTTTGAACAACAGTGCTGACCTCTAACACCGTGCTGCCATTTCTGAGGTTTCATTAAAGCTAAACAAAGTAGCCTTTGCTAGTCCCAGAAATGGGAAATTCACAAATGAAGAGAGCATGTGCACAAATATAATGAACATCATTTTACTTTAATGTTTCTGCATCATTCAGATATTTAAGTTGTTCTGTTACACAATTCAGTGTGGAGTTCATGTTCTTCCCGGAGTCTGTGTGGGTTTTCTCAGAGTACTCTGGCCTCCACCCACAGTCCAAAGACATGTGGGAGTTAGTGGGGTTCGGGTAACTGGGGATTATAAATTGCCCATAGGTGTGAATGTGAGTGTGAATGGTTGTCTGCGTGTTTTAGCCCTGCAACAAACTGGCGACCGGCCCAAGAGGTCACCAGTCTGTCGCCCTGTGGTAGCTGGAATAGACTCCAGCCCCTACCACGATCCTGACCTGGATAAATGGAAAAAAGGATGGATGTACAATCCCACCCTTAACATTTTTTTTACTTTATTTTTCATTAAGACATGAAAGGAATAGAGAGTTTTTATATATATTTTTTCAGCATTTCTCAACACTCAAGAGAATAAAACAGAAGTAATGAAAAGAGAATTCAAAGAAACCTAAAATCTGATATAAACTCAGGGAAAGTCTTGCCATAAAAGTATGTTTAAAAGTTTAAAGGCATGACTTAAAAAAAGTGACCGACCATGTCAACCAGGTTGTTCCAGAGTTATGAGGCGCTCAGTGCAAATGCTCTCACCTTAGGGCTGTGACCAAAATCTCAAATCCCGATATAAGACATCTATCGTCTGATAATGATATAAATCACAAAAAGTAACATTTTCTGTAAATTCTGTGAATCTCGGGCAGCTCGACTTGCGTGAAGTGTTTCCAGCTGGGCATTGTGTACCTGGAGTCGAGTGTTTTAATTGAAACTATACATTTTTAGTCATAAGTTGTAATGGCCGCCGTTTTCTTTGTGAGTATTTATTACACGGCGTGCTGCGGGGAAAAGCCTGTTCTAACGTTTGAGTCTAAGGTTTATTTTTTTTTAGCACCTGACGGCTCTTTTTTACTTCTCATCTGTAAATAATCTGCTCTTTCACGTGGTTTAGTTTATTTTGAAAAGTCTCAACAGGATCTTGAGCTTTATTGTGAAAGGTTTATATGGAAAATAAACAAGCGGACATGCGATGGTTTTACCGTCGTTGTTGCTAACGACAACGCATAAAAACAGGCGCTTGTCCGTCTGTAGTGTGGTTATATAAAATATAAGAGAAAGAGAGAACTTTAAGAAATTAATATAACCACTACAGTGACCATCAAAACGATGAAAAAATATTGCCGTAAACAGTTTATTTTGCGACACCACGAAACAAACGATAGCATAAAATGAAACGATAGACGTTTTTATATCGTCATCCGATATATATCGTTATATCGAACAGCCCTATCTCACCTCTTACATTTTATATACTAGTGCATGTGGTAGTTAGAGGTGGAAGATGTACACCATGAGCGGCCTTAAAGGCAGCCAATAACATCTTAAATTTAATTTCATAGCTAAATCTCTTTAGTTATGAACTTATCCTGAAGACATTTTACAGCAGGATATGCGGCACATTGTGTCACTTACATTCTGGATGAAGAACTGGAAGTCCTGGGGATAACGAAAGGAGGCCTCCAATGACTGAACGGTGAACTCCTGACTACCCTTGTTGGAGAAACCCACCAGGAACCGCACAATTTCATTGGCAGGAAACTCTAAAAGTGTCATGACCAGAAGTAAATAATTAATAAAATTAAAAACACAAATGTGAAGATACCATGTGTTTAACACAGCCACAAAACTGGCTTCTACACCATGAAACAACTAATTAAGCTTTGTGCTTTAGTTTTCTAGCAATTATTAACAAAAACAGCGATACCAACCTTCTCCTGTGGTGAAGATGATCGTCGTGTCGGCATCAGGGTGAGAAGCTAACAGTTTGTCCGCCGCTTCGTCAGAGTCATCTTCGTGTCCTTCCTGTTGACACACACAACTTTACATTGTAAAACCACCACTAGTATGCCTAATCGTGCTGCGCCATCACTGTACATACCGAGGTTTGCATCTGATCCTCTTCAACAAGGACATCT